TCTTCCACCCGCTTTCAGAAGCTCCGCTGTAATTCCATCCTCGCCTGGGGCCTTACCGTTTTTAAGGTGCTGGAGAGCCATCCTAATCTCGCTCAGACTGACATCCGGGATATCTTCGGAATAGTGTCGGATGAGACTCGCTCTTGGATCGTTACTCACACTTGCGTGTGGCTCCAACGATGATGTGCACAGCTGTCCATAGAACCTCTCAATCTCACTCAAAATCTCAGGTGTCCCGGAAACGATGCTGCCACATTCTGTCTTCAGCTTTGACAGTTGGCTCTTTCTGGCAGACAGATCTCTGGCAAAGACTTTGGAGCCTTGGTTCCGCTCGATCGCTTCTTCAATACGAGCTGTATTGAAGTTGCGTAAGTCCCGCCGCATGCATTTGGAGATCTGTCTGTTCAGATGCCTGTATGCTGTCAAGTCTGTTGAAGAATGTAGCTTCATCTCCCGTCTAACAGCCATGAGATTAAGAGTGTGATCGGAGAGTTTTTGTGTTCTTCTGCGGCGGGTCTTGCAGAACTTAGCTCCAACCGCATGGACAGTTTCCACGAGCTTGTCATTCATATCGTCCACTTCATTGCAGTCTTCCAGGCACTGAAAACGGTTTTGTAACTCGAGCTGAAAGGTTTCGGGACTTTGGAACAGAGCACGAGGGGGACGGAGCGTTGACTTCATTAGACGGGACCTCTCCAACTTAACGTTTAGGTTCAGTGTGCCTCTAACCATTCGGTGATCGCTACCAGTTTTCACCCTCGCGATCACGGAGACATCACTGAACAGTTGTCGTCTGGTCGTCATAATGAAGTCAATCTCATTTTTTGTGGAACCGTCGGGGCTCGACCAGGTCCACTTCCTGTGGGGCCGCTTCTGGAAGAAAGAGTTCATCATAAAGAGTCCCTCTTTCTCCATGAAGTCGGCCAGCTGCTGGCCCCTTGGGTTCCGTTGCCCTATTCCAAATTTCCCTACTTTCAGCTCACCGTTCTCTCTTGTGCCTAGTTTTGCATTGAAGTCTCCCATTAACACCGTATATTGGGTTTTGGAGGAATGCATGGCTCTAGAGATATCCTCATACATTTCCTCCACCTCCTCATCGGGGTGTGCCGAGGTTGGTGCGTAAACCTGTATGACCTTTAGCGAATACCGTTTGGTGATTCTGAGTATAAGGTACGCAACCCTCGTCGACACACTCCCGATTTTTACAACGTTGTTAACGAGAGACTTGTGGACGATAAATCCGACACCTCCTTGGGACAGATGGTCGCCCTCCCGGTGATAGAGCAAGTTGCCGGATTCGAGGATTACCGTGTCCTCCCCCTCTCTTCGGACTTCGGATAATCCTATAATATGCCAGCGCAACTTGTCTATCTCTTCTTCCAGCTCCACGATCTTCTCGTCAGTCCTCAGGGTGCGTGCGTTGTACGTTGCCAGGTCGAGTCGTCTAAGGTGGCAACTGAACCTCCACCGGAGATTCTTAGCACCCCCTGCCCCGCCGTTACCATGGTCGCCACCGTAGCCAGGAATAGCGGGGCCGCCGGGGACTGGGGGCCGTTTTTTTGTTGCTCTCATCATTGGGGGGTATTTGCCATAGTTGCCACGCTTGGCGAGCGGGTTGGCAACCGCAGTTTTTTTATTGTAATTTGGCTATTATCAGGAAGATGCTGCTGCCCATCTCCTGGCTGTTTCCCTTTGTCGCCTTTTACGACACCCACGGGAGGATATGGGGTAGTGGATATTCTTGACCGCCACTACACGGTCTTATACATGTAAAATAAAATAGAAAACATATTATTTATCCGTTATTTTTTTATTTGTACTTAATAGAACAAAGGTCTATAAAAACTCAGAAGTATTGTCTCTGGTTGAAAATCAACGTTATAAATCAACAAAAACAAAAGAAAATGAAATTGTCTTTTTTACTACTTACAGCTTATAAAATTGACTATAATTATCTTAGAAATAAATCACATTCATTGTCAATGGCACTGTGTAATAGGAACTCTAAAATTGCATTTATTTTTAGATCATTCTATGTATAATTCTAGTTATGATCTAAATTATAATAAAATAAAATAAAGGAAACATACCTAAAAACTACTAATTATTATTTTAGGAAAACTATAATAAACTATTGGTCGTTATTATCTATAATATCTACTTGAGATGAACATTATCGGCATATAACAATCACATGATATATGCCGAGAACTGTACTTTGTTCTGCGGTTCTTTTTCCTATCGCAATAGCAACAACGACGTGACGTTATCGTCATCGCTATCACTAAGCTCAGCATCCGATTGAACATACTCATCGTGTGTTGGCAAAATTTCTACTGGGTTGTCTTCTTGGTCCGAAACATCATCAAAGACCTCATCTTCCGATTCCACCTCCTCTAACATGCGAGGTATTCGATGTTCTAAGTCTTCCTAATTCATTGTCTATAACTAAAAGTACATTTTTAAAATTATACTTTTATAATATTATAATATAAAACATAAAAAGTAATAATAAGATACAAAAAACATGAAATATTTACCCCGGTTTCACTTTAATTGCACTAGATTGTTCTGCATTGCAAACAGAAGTAAGAAAGCACGTGTGCATGCGACGAATGTCACAGGGCTACATAGGGGTGCTACCTCACCTTCCTGAGCATATCACGGAAGCGCAAGCGTCTATTGTTTATAGGTTTAGTAAATTGACTAAAACATGTTCGTTGCGGACTCAGAGACCGCGCGCGACCGTTGGAAGGTTAAATGCAAAACTATTTTTTAATCAAATATTGTATTAATAGCTTAACTTAATATCAGCGGGTTTCATATAAGATCGGGGAAAAGTTTCTTCGTATTTTATATACAAATTCAAGACATTTTTTTTTCAATTACAATCAATTATAATAAATATGTGTAGTTTTGTTCGATAACTTGTTGCCATCTTGTCGGTAGTGACATAATAGTGAATCCCGTTGCTGGTGAAATCTTGAGATATTTGATCAAAAAAACTGCGACAAGTAGTTTGGCAGTTCTATCTTGATGTTAATCTAACACTGCCCAAAGAATTCTGAAGAGACCGAAACAGGTGATAATCTGAGGGTGCAAGGTCAGGACTATATGGTGGATGCATTAACACTTCCCAACGAAGCTCTCTCAATTTTTGCTGAGTTACCAAATATATGTGTGGTCGGACGTTATCGTAATGAAAGACTTTTCTGTTGATCAATTCCGGCGGTCGTTTTTTTCTCAATTTCTTGCTTAAGTCTCATTACTAGTTGGCAGTAGAGATCCGAATCGATGGGTTAGCAGCCATCAATAAAAGCTTCTAACAAACCTTGCCCTTCCAATCTCACCATACACACAGCATCACCTTATTGCGTGTTAATCTGGGTTTCGCTACAGTCTGTGGAGCTTGACTATAGAATAGAATAGAATAGAATAATTTTTTATTCAATATACATTACATGTGTAATTCTTATTGAAAGTCATTTTTTACTTTACCACTGGTTCGAAAAAAACCCTCTGTCCTGGGAAGAACCAGCATGAAAACCCAGCGGGACTTTTTTTTAAAATAAATTTTACAATATAAATGATTACGAACTATTTACAAAATTTATTTTAGAAACTGCTTGGAAGCAACTAAATCCGGCACCCCCTGTATTTGACATACCTATAGCATGTAGGTACAGTCGATTCGCGTTATGAGTTCGCCACTGGGGAGGTTACCTATCTTCCCGAATACGTGGACAAAGAAGTTGTAACTAGTTTGCGCCTACAAGAATTTTGCTTGACGCGTATTGTCTTAGTTTGAATGTGACTATGGTGACCTAGCGGGCGTTCATTATTTACTGTTTAGGTATTCATTGTGCATCACATGATATTTTTTATTATCTTATATTTGATATAATTTGTCGGATTACAAGGGATTCTTTTTCAAAAAGTTCCGGACTACCAGGGGTCTGTGATAGTACTCTATAGTGCGACATCGCCTTGCAAAATGTTTGTTGTATTACCGCGACTCAACTGTACGAAGAAACTTTTTCACCGACCTATTATTTTATCAACCGTATGGTGATTATTACCGCATTACTTGGCGAAGGCGTTGCGTTTTCAAGTTTCAAAAGTAGTAAAATTTTCGGTTTTGAATATATGCCATTATCTTTGTCAACGAGACTTAACGACATCTTAAAATTGAGCAGCGTCTGAGTATTTGGGCATATGTCTCTAAAATTGCATCCGAATCTACCTTCTAAATTTTCGGTTTTGATTTACAGCGGTAATGGATAGGTGGGAATGAGTGAATGTCATCTTGTGGTTCTATAATATACCAGTAACGTCCTGTTCAGTTGATATATTCTGTTAATAGCTTCGGAATATATACGGTTATTTTGCAATCACCAGCCAAATTTGCAGATAAAGTTCAGAATAAGTAATATAGGCAAATGGTGAAGAAAAATTTATTTAAAAAAAACTCAATAATTCTGTCCTTTTTATTTTTTAAATTTAAAATGCGTGGTAATGCATTATTTTAACTGATTTTATAGTGCACGCACACATTCGTAAGGGTCGATCGGTAGGCAATAACGTATTTGGCTATAAATCGCATTGGGATAATTTCAAATAAAAGTAGAAGCCTTATTTATTCTTATTTATAAAAACTGCAATAACGGTATATCATTATTTCTATATTTGAACTTAAGTTTTAAATTTGGCTACTCTTTGAAAAATAACCATGTATAAGGGAAATATCATCATTGCATGAAACTACTTTTTAAGAATTTTATCGTGTTTGATTAACTTATTATATTTTCCCGACGTTTCCGTGTGGGTGTCACCATTCTTTTACCTATTTCCGCCACCAAATAGCAGAGTGTGCACAAAAAATGTTGAAAAATAGGTAACATAATCCTCTTCTCATACAAACTGTCTTAATAATGAAATATTGCTTTAAACTTATGTCTATATCACTAGACTGTTCTAAAAGATTCACATGATTGTTTTAGGTAATCCACGAAACAAATGCGCTCTTCAACCTGGTCATAGTCTAATGGATTGGATACGACTAGGCAACTCCGGAAAAGACTTAACTGGAGTTGGCGGACGAATAAGACCAGTACACCCATCCGAACTTGCAACACACAATAAAAAAAGTAATAAAAATACTAGTATGTTACTTTAAGAACAAGAATAAAGAAATATTCCTAAAAGTGCTTTTCTTTCAGATGACGCCTGGTTAGCTATTCGTGGTCGAGTTTATAACATTACGCATTATTTACCATATCATCCTGGAGGTAAGCTTAGTACACAAAACATCATGTGTTTTCACAATCGCTGTAGTTTTCATTTTGTAATTTACTTTTACAATTTAAAAATGTCATGGTTATACTTTATAACGTAAAATTGTAATATCTTTTAGGCCCAGAAGAACTTATGCGTGGAGCTGGTATCGACGCAACAGACCTTTTCGATAAAGTACATCCGTGGGTAAATTATGACTCCCTCCTGGCCAAATGTCTCGTAGGTCCTCTTCGTTTTGATAGACCTGATGCGGAAGAGCTTATTAGTACATTTAATTCGTCTACTAAATCAGAACGTCTACGAGAGCCGTCTAAAGCTCACGAGCTTGTAAGGAAATCAATGGAAAACTTAGCAAATTGTATAACTCCTGTTAGAAAGAAAATGTCTAATAAAAATGAAGAAAATGCAAAAGGGAGTCCACCAAGTAAAATTATGCAAAGTCTTATACACTCAAGTGAATTGCCAGTGTCAATAAGTCGAAAAGCGGGCTCAAGTACTCTGAGAACCGATAAAGACAATGGTAATACACCACCGTCTCTTCGCTTTGATTGGATACAAACTTCCACAAAACTAACGATTTCAGTATACACTGGATATTTAGCCAATCCAGGCGGCTGTGCAAGGATTACTGAAGGAGATCTTATCATTGAAGTAGTAACTAACGGTTGGTTAAGAACGATAAAGTTAGTGCCTGAGGATGCGTTACAAGAACCGTTACAATTACGAGTATTTGCTGAAAGCGGGAAGATAGAAGTAAGTTGTCTCAAGTTATTATAATTTTGAACTTCTAAAATCAAGGTTTCCTCTAATGTATAATAAGCAAATGTTTTCTGAAGGTTATAGCTCAAAAAGCAGAATTGAAAATTTGGAAAAGTTGTGGCGATACAAATTTAAGTACAGCTTCTAAAATGACAGCTCCTCGCACATTAGAATGTCGAGTTGAAAGTATCAGTTCAGTAACGCAAGATACAATGTTATTGGCGTTAGCTCCGCGTTCTGGTACTGTCGCCGTTCCATTAGGACATCACGTACGAGTACATAAAACGCTTTCAGGTATTAATTTTTTGTCTTTACCTTCTTGTATCTGATATATGAGATTGGTTTTAAATATTTTAACATGACCAGTTTGTAACAATTTTTTTTCGGTATTGAAATTTGAAAAATGCTTTTTGTATTTAATAAATCATCATGGTATCTGTAACACTATCTTTACCCACATCGTTTAAGAACTACGAGTAAGTTATCTAAAGATTTATTAAAACAGCAAAATAATAGTCTCAATATGAACTCAAGCAAATCTCTATGCAAACACTATTAAATAGTATGTTACAATTTTGTACAGGTTCCGAATGTATACGATCTTATACTCCTGTTGGCGATAACTGGGGCTCTTCTAGTGATGTATCAGCACCAATTAGACTTGCTATAAAAAGATACGAATCTGGAGCTTTATCACCTACGCTCACATCTTTGAAAATTGGGGATCCCATCACTGTGTCAGGGCCCTACGGCAATTTTGAACTTCATAAGGTTTGAGTGTTGTCATGGATTTTTTAGAATAAGCATATTACTTAATGCACAATTTATTGCTTTTATAAATATAAAGAATTAAAATATATTTGCATAATAGTAGTATTTTATAAATTTATAAAGATTTACATATCATAATATGTGTATCTTTATATTTTATTAATAAATTTATGTTATCTGTTACAGTTAAAAACAGTAACAACGATGTTTTTGATAGCAGCTGGTACTGGAATTACACCGATGTTGGGCTTATTGAAATTTATGCTTTCGAGATCTAATCCTCGATGGTAATTATTATTTTCTGAAATTTAATGTATCATTTTATACATTATAATTGCAGTAAAAATGAATGCAATGTTAGTTAAATTAAAATAAGTTGTTTTCTGCCAACTTCCAAAAAGGAGACGGTACTCAATTCGACAAGGTCAGACCAATAGTTTTTGAGTTATTCTTAAATAACTTAAATTGAAGTCGGCTGTACAAAATTTTTAATTTTTAATTATTACTAAAAACAAACTAAGCGCGTACCTGCGGACCTTCGGACCGGAAATAGCAGCATTTTGAATGTTATCCGTAAGATCCGAATCATTTACTAAGTCTAGTGTTGATATATTTATAATAATTTTTTTTAATTATTATTAATAATATTTTACTGTACCTGTTAGCTTATACCTTGTGAATCTTTATTCTTTTACAGTGAACGTGTTACTTTGCTTTTCTTTAACAAAACTGAAGACGATATTTTGTTTCGAGCAAATTTCGAAGAGATGATGAATCAAGATGATAGGTGAGTTTTTTTATATAATGTGTGATAAATGCTTCCATATTTCATTTTTTTACATGATATATTATTGCATAATCTAGCGCTACCATAAGGATGATATGATTATAAAATAGAGTAGAACACAATATCTTCTTTATTAATCCATGTGTATGTATTGTCCTCAATCTTCTAAAAATCGGTATGAGGGTTTTTACTCAATGGTGGGAGAATAAATTAATTCAGTAAAAATAAAATATTGAATTTACAATTTCATGTTTAGCTAATAACATAATTTTATTGTTTAATTAACCTCAAGCGTCCGTTTTTTTTATTTAACAGACTTAACGTCGTGCACATTCTATCAAACGCAAATTCTACATGGGTCGGGCACAAGGGACGAATTAGTAAAGAGCTTCTATCCGAAATACTTGGCGAAGCAACTTTTAGGTCTGGTGATGAGTGTTCACATTTTGCTTGTCTGTGCGGTCCTACAGAGTTTACACATGCTGGCATCGATTTGTTGAAAAACCTGGGTATGAAGGAAATGTATATACATGCTTTTATAGGGTAAAAGTGTTATTTAATACTTCATTGTGGTACAAGTAATAGGAAAAGTGTGACATTTTATTATTAATTAAATAAATTAAGAATGTACTTATATAGGTAATGTGTATAGTAATTTCTATAGTTATTTAAATCGATTTATTGTGATTTCGTCCCAAGAGTGAGAAATAGTTGCAAACACAGTTGTAAATAGCGTAATATTTATATGTAACCTAACCACATCGACAAGTACGGGATACTTGTTGCCGAAAATCTAATGCTTGCCATCGGCAGATTTAGAAGGAAAGTGTGATAAACTAGCGTCTAGAATGTACATAGATTAATAGTACACAAATACACAAATTAAGAAATTAAGTTCAAATATATAAATAATGATTTGCCGTAAAATGCAGTTTTTAAAAATACAGTAAATAAGGCTTCTACTTTTATTTGAAATTATACCTCAATTGAATGTGATTTATGGGAAACAACTATGCGTACGCGCACTGCTTATGATGTGTGCGACTCAATTCACAATGTTTTTGCCGACCGATCGACCCTTACGAATGTGTGCGTTCGTAGTAAAATAGTAGGCGTTAGATATTTATGGATGACAATCAGTTAAAATAATGCAATACCACGCATTTTGAATTTAAAATAAAAACGACAATATGTTCGAGACTTTTTTTTCATTCATTTTTAATATTTATAAATTTGGCCGGTCATTGCAAAATAACTCTGTATAAAAGAAAAAAGGGTATTTAAATTTGGTGCCGTCTCCATATTAATTTTAGTTAGTACCTCTTGTAATAATGTTTATTTTATATAAAAAATATAGAATAATATATGACAGAACTCTAAGTTTTTGACTAAGTATATTATATTAAATTTATAAGTTTTTAAAGTAGTATTGCAATAAGTGTAATTAAAGTTACCTTGTTATAGTTTCAGGAAGGTTAATTTTTCTGTAACTACTTAAAATATTGTACAAGTTTATTGTGTTATTGTAGAATATTGTTGTTTTTTTATTTGTTATAAACGTTTTACAGAAAAAAAAAGTAAAGTAAAAAGAAAATTGTAATTTTTAGGCCACACTCAAAGTCGCCGCTTTCGTCAGTTGCCGAGTTTTCTTTTTTTTTTATTTCAGTCGATGAGATTCCGTTTTCAGTTTTACTCAGGCTTAGGCAGGCAAACTTCATCAGCCAAGCTACCGATACGCTATAAGTGCAGAAATTGATGATATATTTATTATAAATGACTATTATACGTTATTTTTTAGCAATAAGTAGTCAGGAAAGTGCCATTCCGTAAAACGCGATCCACCGACTAATGTCAGCCGTTTGTGTTAGCAATATGCTCACTCCGCTCAATATTATGTTTTATCCTTTATCTGACGTACCACATGTAACAGGCAAAATACGTATTGGAACGGCACGGGGGGTCGATCATACTTGCTCCCATTTTAACATATTTGTAGGAAGTTTTTCTTAAAGTACGCAATCATATGTTATTGACTTATTGATTGAATTATTTGACCGATTAGTCTATCGTCTGCGCTGTTATGCCTTATTAGTTTTTAAATACATTCTATAAATAAAATCGATATATTTATTAAGATGTGGCGTTTCAAAGTTTTTAGTATTCTATTGATTTCTGTAAAATTTATATTGTTATGTGAAAACGACATGTAAATATTAAAGTGCCTACATTCCAGGTGAAGTTATTGTTTTATGTATACAACGTTTTTGTTAAATAACTATGAATTTAATAACATAATTATAATTAAACACGTCTTTCCTTTTTCTCGACACATTCTGTTTTATATACCTTTTTTATAGGATAACCTATTCATGGACAAAGTTAATTAGCAATTCATATAGCAAACATTGTTGATTCAACACAGGAATTCAAGAATTTTGATAAATCATTCTCTGTTCTTGGAGTAAGACTTTGGAACTCCTTGCCCCAGTCGATTAAAAATGCTCAATCGTTACACGTGTTTAAGAAACAAGTTAAGGAACACTATTTGTCACTGAACCCTCTTTCTCCTTTTATTTATGATCATTGATCTACCAAAGTATGTCGTCTTTTTAATACATAAGTTGGTATTTATCTTTAACTTTAACGTAATTTTAACGTTAATCTTTCTCTTACATTTATTTAATTCTCTGGGTTGTCTGGAGGAGATTGCTATGCAGCAATAAGACCGCCTTTTGATTTTCCCTCCAATATTAGTTTATTTTTGCTATTTTAATCTTTCCTTGGTTTACAATAAGGGTATTGTATTTCACGAATTTTATTGCAGACTAGCAACCCGCCACAGTCGCCTGGGTAGGATTTATTAATTCGGCGTTATTTACACTTTCAAAGACCCATCTAATCTAACAATTTTTAGATTTCTCATTAATATGTTTTCTAGATCACTCCTGGCATTGACCTTTATCTGTTCGTAAAGTTTCATCACCATCGGTTCAGGCATTCCGAAGATTTAAAAAAGAATAAATTAGAATATTTGTTTTTCAATATAGATTACCTGAAGATGCCTCGGGTAGAGGCGAAACACGTGTCGTATTGTCGTCGGTGGTGTGTCTTTCCTAGTGTAGTGGTGTTGGGAGTAGTGGTGCTGGGGTTAGTGGTGACGGGGATAGTGCACGCAATTGAGGGATGGCGGGAGGTGCTCTTCAAACTAGGTAAGACTGTGATATAGGTAATGTGTCAATAAGGACAGGCGTGTTGCTTGTACAAGAACTTTAATTATAATGTTCTCTATTCTTAACTTAACTCTAATATATATATATAGATGACACATCATTTTATTTTATCGAGCGGATGTACGCGAAGTAATTTTTTGCCAACTTTTATATAGATTACATAAAATACTTTTTAAAAGTTTATAATGCATTGACCACTGGTTCGGAAAAAAGCCTCTGTTTTGAGAAGAATCAGGAAGAAACCTACTAGGATTTTTTTGAATATTAATTCATCTTCTGCGAATATTCTTGTTACGAATTTTATCCCGCAGAGAAATTCCGAGCAAGCTTTTCCATTTCACGCTAAGTGACCAGCTTCTTCATACTGCCAGCAGTGAAGGACACCATTTTAGTTCCGTAAGTCATCACAAGAAAACGCACAGGTTGTTCAAATTCGTCTTAAGATTTTGGGGAATATCAGACAAGAATACTTGTCGCAGTTTACCGAATGCAGCCTAGCCGAGTTGGATTCGTCCGTTGGCCTCTTGGTTGAATTTGAACTTATCTAATCGGTAGGTAAGAGGCGACAGAGGTAATCTGAGTGAATGCATCAGCATCTTCCTCATGTAATTTAACGATACAATGTCTATCCGAGTATAAAACCAGAGCACGAAACCTATCCAACTGCAGAGAGATGTGTAAGACAGGGTAACGATATATTGCGATTAGTTTATTTGTATAGATAGAACATGGGTGACAAGCGTGCACATAGTTAATTTGACGGTAAGAGGATTCCATTGACCATAGACATCTACATCTCATCGATTAAGAATAAAAGTGCAGATGCGATGCTACACATAAAGCCTAATATGGAATGTTGAATGATGGGTTCCGGTTCCCTACATTCACCATACGAAACACAGCTGCATAAAGTTGCTATTTTACACTGGTATTCTGTAAGATCGTATCCTTTACTCGGTCGAGCTAACTCATTCGTGCTGCAACCACCTGGCTCTGCAGCACCCTATAGACGTCCATTGAAAATAGCGGTCACGATTATTTTATTTACATATTTTTGAAACAATATTATAAGTTAAAATTAGGAAGAATAAAAAGACACAGAAGACGGCGGAGAGCATACTATGTGAGATCGAAATGTTGAAGTGGATCTGGAGCGGATAAATTGGATTACGAGAGTTGTCGTAGGGAGAGCTTCGTAATGATTTTTTATAGAATTAGAAGGGACAATAATTTTTTTAGTTATATACAATTTGTTTTTTTTATTAATACGTATTATTATTAATATTAAAGTAGATTTGTTGGTGTCAAATATTATTAACGATTTTCTATATAAAGCACTTTATTTTATTTAATCTCACTTTATAAAAATATTTTTTTCGAAACATTTATTTTAGTTTTAAGTTTATTTATAAAATATATTATTCTAAATTTTTGTTAATATTATTCTGCGCGCTTAATCAAAAGAAAGACAATATTTAAAAACTGTATTAAATATAAAGTTCATATAAATATCATTTAGACAATTCTCAATTTTTATTTTTTTTCATTTTTATCCATGTCTTATCGTTCTCATCGGCATTAAGTTTTTAAACAAACAAGAGCAATTTTAAAATTAAAAGCAAATTAAAATTATATAAGTAGGTATATAATTTAAATCCTAGTAACAGAATGTTATACTAGTAGATATATAATTTAAATCCTGATAACTGAATGCGTAACAAAAATGTAGATAGCTGCTTTGATATGCTTATATATTTTAATCATAATTTAGGACCGCAGTGATTTTGTTTAAATCATAATTTTAAATTTTGATATGCCTGACTTGTGTCTGACACTTAACTATAAAAACTGACAGCACATTTCTAAAAACAAATTTTCTTTATTAAAACGAATGTAATGGGTATCTTTCACTGTAAATTGAATATTCGCTTAAAAATCAAAATTCCAATGCGTTGTTACCCATGAGGATTAAGATGGAAAGACTTCTATCTATACTAATATAATAAAGCGGAAGAGTTTTTTGTTTGTTTAAACACACTAATCTTTGGAACTAGATTTGAAAAATTATTTTTGTATATTATAGCCAAATTCATGGGAAATAGTATAGGCTACATACACCTCACAGCTAGCCTTAGATATTGATTGTTGTTAAGCAAGTCAGAACAAAAAGTGCCCCCGAATTTTATTGCCTTATCCACGTGCGCTGGCGTAATGATTAGGTGATACGTGAATATCATGTTCTACAAAAGTACAGACCTTTACACTTTACTTGACAAAAAATTATTGAAAATTAAAAAGTAATTTATGAGCGTTATTATTAGGCATGATATGTATATTAATCCTTACGAACGAAAGTTACTACATATCAAGACAATTTTATGGAGATAAACTTTGCTCCATATAGCATGTTATTTGTGCGCGTAGTTTAACATATAACGAAAAATTAAAATAATTCAACACTCGGCTCGGCGCGCGAACGATGCATAAACCAGGCCGACCGATAAGAACCGAGAGAAACCAGCAGTGATCGCCGGTGCGCGAGCTATCATAACATATAGCGTAAGTTAGGTGTCCACATGCCATTGCATTTACTCGGCGGTATAGGAAAACATCGTGAGGAAATCTGCATGTCTCCGAAACAAAAAACAAATATTTCGAAGTATGTGAAGTCCGCCAACACGCATAGCATGACGGACACTTCCTTGCCCTCAGAAAAGAGAGCACTACTGTGCACAGCAGTGGTATTAGGTAAAGTACAAAAGTTTAGCCACACCACCACATTAGATTAATCAAAATTACAAAACTTTCATGTCAATAAATTACTGAACTTTTCGTTACCTACCCACAAAAATATATAAAATTATTTCATTTTGTTACAGTGCAATATATTATAACCTAATAAAGGTTTTCGTAAAAGAATGGGCGAAACAATTTGCGTTGGGAAGATAATTAATGGTGATGAACCGCACCCAGGGCGACCATCCCAGGTCATTACGGATGAAAACACTATATTTGGTTAAAGACTAAAGATTGCGGTTTAACTGAGCTCGACAATCCACCATGTAGCCCCGACTTGGCCCCTATTATATTATTTATTGTTGAAATGGATATCCGACATACGGAGAAAAAAAATTTAACACTGATGAGGTAGCAGTTTGTTAAGTTTTGAGGGCAAAATTTCAGACTATTTTTTAAGGGTATAGAAAAGTTAGTAAAGCGCTGTGAAAAGTGTATTGAAATAAATGGAGATAGTGGTTTGAGGTTTGTCCTTCATTTTATAGTTCTTTAAGTGAGGTGTCATGTCGTGCGGCTCAGACGTGTGATATAATATGCGGGTGAAACCGCGGGGCACAGCTAGTCTAGTAATAAAGGGAGACACTTTCCATAGTAAACACTCAATCCCGTCAATCCCGCAGTTGTACCCTGGATTGTAGTCGATCTTTCAATGATTTTTGATAAGATTTCCATCGTCATATTTGTGTGAACGCGCTGTGACAACGCTGCTTACTAAAAAAAGAAATCGTTTGCATGTTACGGAACTTACGACTTACGACTGTTTTTGAGTAAAATCGAACCTGATGTCAACAAACTTGTTAAAAATCATCAAATTCATCCATCTCATTAGATTAGTTTTAAAACTAAAATTGATTACCTATCTATATTGTTTCTTTTAATTTGATCAAAACATATTCTTAATATTATAAAGTTGCGTTTTAATTGCTCTCACTGGTAGCAATGTCTAGGTTAGAATGTAAGTTTAAACCCCAGAACCGACTTATATACACACCATAACTAAATTAATTAAAGTAATGAAATTCTGGTTTTTAGGTTTTAGAAGTGTATAAAAAATTAGGGGAGCTGAAAAATAATTGATTTTCTAGGGGGCGGTAAAAGAAATAAGTTTGATAATCTCTAACCTATAACCTCAAAAACATATCTTCGTGACAACTTGTTCATTGCATGGTACGTAAAAAAGTTTGCTTTATAACGTGCCTGTTTATTATCTTTTGAATTATAGGAAACATAAAACTGTCCGAAAGCGGGGATGGTTATTTTAATTCATATTAATGGGC